CTACTACTACTACTACTACTACTACTACTACTACTACTACTACTACTACTACTATTGAACTTCTCTACTACCTCCCATAAAATGTGTTAAAATGTGTAAAGCAACTACTAACGAAAAGTTCAAATACAAAAAAAACAACTCCTCATCATCATTACTACCAGTACACCATACGAAATGGGCGGGGACGTTTCGGTATACCAGGCAGCGATCGTAAACCGTTGGTATTGTCAACATATCAGGATGCACAACAGCATTTGCCATATGCCGATGATTCAAATGCCGTTACACCCATGTCCGAAGAAAACGGCGCGATTATAGTGCCAGTTTACTATTGTAATTTAGGTAAAGATATTAGGAAAAGAAACAAAAACTTTTTTACTTTTCATTCACGGTTTTTGCTTGTTTTTTCCTTTCTTGTTTTACTTATTTAAACGCTTAGGTTCTAGACACTCATCATATACCTCGCATCAATCGAGAATCTCGTACACATCACATGGTGACTTATTAGGTGGCATGGCAGCGATGGGAGGGAACGCAATGACAAAAGAGAGCAAATTGCGGAATCGCAACACGCGCAACCAATCGATCGGAGCTACAAACAGCATCGGCTATACGGACACTAATCACAAAGAACATCCACAGCGTGATTATGTAAGAATTCGTGATATTTGCATGAAATATTTTTATATTGTTAACGTCACATTGATCGTTTTTAGGACTTGGGGCAAGAATATACCGATGAAGCTGGCAAGATAAAACATCACGACAACCCCTTTATTGAGCCCGTCCAAACACAAACGGTAGTTGACATGAAAGGTACTGTATTTCGATTTGAGTTCTATAAGCGCGCCGATCTCACATGAGGAGTCAATGTTTATTTACTTTCAGATGTTATGGTTTTAAATGATATAATCGAACAAGCCGCTGGTCGGCATAGTCGTGCTAGTGATCGAGGTGGTAAGTTATTCTATTTTTCATTTCTATTATTTTCATGTAAATTATGCAATAAAAAAAAAAAAACAAGAAGGGAAACATATGACCCGAACATTTTTCTTTTTTGTTTTCTTGTTTTCTTGTTTTTTTTTTTTATATTTTTATTATTTTTATTTTTTATTTTTTTTTGTAAATACACCTTTTTTTCAAGTAAAACTTTTATCTTTGTACGAATTTAGCAAATTGGCCTGTGTTATATGTATATCTTTTACTTTTCATCTGATGTTTTCCTATCTCTTAACTATTTCTTTAATTTTCTCTTACACCTATCATAGAGGCCGCAGAGGCAACAAAGCCTCTATTAATTTTATCAATCAACGCATTTGCAATACGAACAAACACGGCTCGGAAAATCAGCAAATTATTGATTAGCATATAATTCCGGGTTGATTTATTTACCCATCCATTTAGTTATTTATGTCTGATCGAAAATTCCGAATCCCGTATGCTTTTCGTTGAGCTATAAATTGGAAAATAAATGAATCGATTTTCTGAATGGAACCGTTCCGCCAACTTGTGCTTACATATATTGCCCATGAATAAAAAATTTGGATATTCAGGACTCGTCCAAAGGCGATCATAATGTTCGTGTTTGCGGTTATTCATATCATTATCATTTCATTATTATTATTATTATTATTATTACAAGTATTGTTATTATCATTATTATTATTATTATTATTTTTATTATTATATAATTATTATTTTTATTATTATTATTATCATTATTTTTATTGTTATTATTATTATCGTTATTGACATTATTATTGGTATTATTATATTTATTATTGTTACTATTGTTATTATTATTTTTATTATTATTGTTACATTATTCTTATTATTATTATTATTACTATTATTGTATTATTATTATTATTATTATTACTGTTATTATTATATTTATTATTTTACTTCTTATTACTAATAATGTTATTAAATTTAATATTATTATTATTATTGCTATTATTATTTTTATAAATGAAATGTTGATTAAAACAGCTACCCTTGATATGCCATCATAATCAATGACAAAATTTTTATTATTTTATAATGTAATAATCAATGTATTATACTTATCCTCATCAATACCTGCTTGATAACCTGACTTTCCAATAAAAAAAGAAAACGTCTAGCTAAACAGCAGCAATTAAAATTTTTTTCAATTTATAATTATTTCAATTATTTGCAAAAGCAACTCCTAACAAAAAGCACTGAACAATACTGTTATTCTTATTCTTATTATTATTATTATTATTATTATTATGTTTTTATTGAGCAGAAAGTTAAACGAATCTCAAAATTATTGTTTTTAACTATATATTCCATCTCAGTAAATACGTAAAATTGAAATTCATGTTTTTCTTATTATTTTCTTAATATCATTTATTTACTTTGTACTAATATACTTATAAGCCTTTAACTTTACAAAACTAATAATTTATTGTGTGTCTTTTTATACTCCTTCCTCCTAATTAAAAACAAAATTAATAAATGACTTCTTTGACTCGTCCATTTTTTGCCTTTAACGGTGATGCCAAAATCTAATTAAATAAAATCTTTAAGCATTCAACAAAACACATACGCTCACTTACAATGCCCGCATTTTATTCAATCAACAAGACTTTCCTTTTTCTTTAATTAAAATGAAACCGCTTATAATACTAATCACATCACAATATGTGTACATTTAAGTAAAATAATATCAAGAAGCTTTCTAGTGCCATCTCGCACCTGCTTTCAAAAAAAAAAAAACTAAGAAATGCTATTAAGCAAGCAAAGAAAAAGAAAAAAACAGAAAAAAAAAAAAAAAAAATAACGAATAAATCAATAAATAAGTAAACAATGATAAGAAAAATGAAAAAAAAAAAGGAACAGAAAGTTCGCACACTTAAGAGAAAGAAATTTCAAACACTCTGCCATCATATCAATACACCGTTCGTTAATCACTCATATTTTCTATGTAGAGCTTTTTAACTTTTAATTTAAATTCAGTTTTCAACGAACCCTCGTCTATACGTATACGCTGTAGTTGTCATATATATATATTCTTTTCGACGTCATTCTCTATTGTTTGGATGTGTAGTGATTTCTCTCTTTCTCTTTCTCTTTCTCTTTCTCTTCCTCTCTCTCTTTCTTTCTTTCTTTCTTTCTCGCGCTCTCTCTCTCTCTCTCTCTCTAACTATCGTTCTCTATATATCTATTTATCTCTCCCTCTCTTTCTTTCTCTTTCTCTCTCTCTATCTATCTATCTATCTATCTATTTATCTACCTATCTATCTATCTATCTATCTATCTATCTATCTATCTATCTCTATCTCTATCTCTATCACTCTCTATCTCACATCTATTTGTTTTTTAATATGTTTATCGAAAAGAATGCAGACGTTTCGTTGCATGAATTTTTTAGAATTTTATGTAAATCTTAAATACACCTTTTAATGTTAGAGCATGTACTGAATACATTTATTATGAAAGCTTCATTAGTTCTGGCTTTTATGTCTTTTTTAAAGTTTTATAGTACTTTTCATTTAATATAATCTCAAATATGTAATGTTAAGTAAAATTATAGAGCCACAGTTATTTGGCTGATAGATAGAAAGATTTCACTTTCCAGCAAAGAGAGAAAAAAAAAGGATAAAGACTGATTATTTATAATATTTTATTAAAATGAGTACAGAATATCGTTATAAGATATAAGAAATAGTTTTTCATTGGTTTTTAATTAGTTGGTTGACTAGTTGTTAGTCGAGTGTCCCGAGAACGTTAGAAACACGAGAACGTCTTTAAATATGAGACATTTTTCGGAATTTTATACGAGGATGTGATGAAATTTGATTTTATCCACCGCATACGATACCCAGCGAAGAACCGTTCTGTCATTGCCATCGTCATCGTAGCTTTTAGAAATTAAAATTTTTAGAATGTTAAAATTTTAATTTGTAAATTACTTTTAGATTTTGTTACGCTCGTTTAAGTAATTTTGAGTTTGCGTGTTATACTGCGTATAGCAAGCAGCCTATCGTGCAGACTTTTGTTTGAAAAATTTCAAACTTTCAGTTTTGCGGTATCGCGTCTAACTTAAGAATAGAAGGCGATTGATTGAAAATATACTGTATGTGTTTGGTCGAGTAAATCAAATTTTGAAAAGATGTAAAGAAATATTTTAGAGAAAAAGCTATAGTAAACTTAACCATAATAATTAAATATTTAATAGATAAATGGATTGATTGTATTTACAAAGAATTACAAAAAACGGTTGAGTCAAAGTTGGTCAAAATTAAACTAATTCGCAATTTTACGATACAGTCTCCGTTTACTATTTTCCCACAGAAGACGATGACGAAGATGGTCCTACATTTAAGGATAAGGCTCTAGAGTGTCTGCTGAAAGGCATTGATATATTTTGCGTGTGGGACTGTTGTTGGGTATGGTTAAAATTTCAAGAATGGGTATCACTCATTGTGTTCGATCCCTTTGTGGAATTATTCATAACGCTATGCATTGTGGTGAATACAATGTTCATGGCGATGGATCATCACGATATGAATAAGGAAATGGATAGAGTGCTAAAGAGCGGTAATTATGTAAGTATTCTAAGTCAACTTTCTTTTATTTGAGTTTGCGAGCAATCAATATCAATAATGGGCATTGCTTTTGTTAAAAATCTTACAATTTTCCAGTTTTTTACGGCAACATTTGCTATTGAAGCCACAATGAAATTAATGGCAATGAGTCCAAAGTATTATTTTCAAGAAGGTTGGAACATATTCGATTTCATTATTGTCGCCTTATCTCTCCTTGAGTTGGGTCTGGAAGGTGTTCAAGGCCTCTCCGTTTTAAGAAGTTTTCGTTTGGTAAGCTTTCCCATTATTACTATTTTTTTTTTTTTTTTTTTTTTTTTTTTTTTTTTTTTTTTTTTTTATCTTCTTTTCATGTTTTCTCCATCACCACCAAACCCTTCTTGGACATATTGAAAAAAAAAAAAAAAGAAAAAAACTTATAACTAACTATGAAAACATTCCAGCTTCGTGTATTTAAGTTAGCCAAATCGTGGCCCACATTAAATTTATTGATTTCCATCATGGGTCGCACAGTGGGCGCTTTAGGCAATCTAACCTTTGTGTTGTGCATTATAATCTTCATATTTGCCGTGATGGGCATGCAATTGTTTGGCAAAAATTACACAGGTGATTAGGGAATATACTGCCGCCATATTCTTCTTTTTCTTTCGCACATAGCGCCATAAACTGTTATATATTTATATATATATATATATATATAGAAAAAAGTAAAAAATTATAAAAAAAAAAAACCATAACAATTATATGATAAGAATTCCCTTCAATAATAATTTTCTTAATAATAATTAAAAGCCATTAACACTATATTTTTTGTATATATGAAACAAAAACTATTAAGCTTTAGCACGTTTTTTCTTAAAACAAAGTTTTACAAGCATTTTTTTTTTCTTTCCAATAAATATTTTCAAACTTATGCGAAACGTAGCTGGATTTGTTTATATATATATATATACATTTTTTTATGATTTTTGTTATAGCCATCAAAGAATTCTTGAACGCAAGGATATCTTTGATAAGTTTTTATAAAACTCTTTACACATACATACAAATATAATATTTTAGTTAAGGAATGGGCATGTCTGAGCGCGCTCCATCGGCCTATTCTTTATCTCTATTCCTCTATTGTATTATCGTATATTCTGTACGTATGTCGCTCTTGAACACAAGAACCGTACTTTAATGATTTTGTTTTAACAGTGTTTAAAACGTATTTTTTGATAATTCGTTTTTTTTTTTTTCCAAAAACAATTTTCCCTCTTTTATGCTTTGCCCGGCTTTCATACAACACGAATTTGGCTTGTCAAATATTTTATTAAAATTCCAAAAAAAAAAAAAAAAAAAAAAAAAAAACCAAAAACCAAAAAAACAAAATACTTACAACCCACACCCACCCTGGATGTATGGTAAAAATGATGAAAAAAAATAAAAAAATGCGAAAAAAAAATCAATCGAAAATCCAAAATTGCGGTGACAGCTTCGAGTATTCAAATTGGCAAAATCGTGGCCTACTTTGAATTTGCTCATATCGATTATGGGCCGTACCATGGGTGCTTTGGGTAATCTGACATTTGTACTTTGCATTATCATCTTCATATTTGCTGTTATGGGAATGCAACTGTTCGGAAAGAATTATCACGGTAAGTGTGTGTGCCAAAGATATTTGTGACTGTGTGTGAACGAAACAAAAAGTGCACTTAAATGTTTATTAAATATAAATAAATTATGAAAATTAAATATTATATACGTTATTATTATGTTTTATCCTGCCAAGAGCGAAATTTTCTTGAATAATTTCTATGTGTGCGTGCGTGTTTGTTATGGAATATATATATATATTCGTATTTTTATTGGATTTTTTTTTTTTTTTTTTTTTCTTCTTATTTTCAGTTTTATTCATAGATTCATAAATTCAAATTTCAAATTATTTATTTATTTACAAAACACACACATCATTGTGAACGCTACTCTTTACAATTATTGCACTTTTATCATTTAGAATTAAAACAAAAAAATAAAAAATTAAGATACGGTAAACGAAAATCCACATTGAATTCATCTGATTGGTCTTTGGAGTCTTTGAAGACTTCGTTTATCTAAAAATTTTTTGGAAAGTTAGTGCAACTGAAAAATTGCCGCCAATCGTTAAAATTTGATAATTTTTGGAGATTTTTCTCTAAACTTCTCTAATTATAAGTAGAATTAACTAGAATTTCTGTAAGTATGCGCTATTCTTTTCTCTTTCCCAATCGATTTTCCGCTAAGAATTTTTTCAACACACTTTTCCTTTTATCATAATTTTTTTTCCACTAGAGTATGCCTTTGGCCGAGTTACCTTCAGCCTGATTAGCTGCATAATATTTTTGTAATAATTTTTCACTTTATATGTATATGTAATTGTGCTTTGTATTGCTGTTCTTATTGTACATTTCGAATAAATATTTAAGAAAAAAATATATATTCAATAATTATGTGTATCATGTTTTTTTTTTTTTTTTTTTTTTTTTTTTTTTTTTTTTCAATTGCAATGTAGATAAAAAGGATACATTCCCGGACGGTCAATTGCCGCGATGGAATTTCACCGACTTCATGCACTCCTTTATGATAGTGTTCCGTGTGCTGTGCGGTGAATGGATTGAATCGATGTGGGACTGTATGTATGTGGGAGATGTTTCTTGCATACCGTTCTTTTTGGCCACTGTTGTCATCGGCAATCTTGTGGTAATTATTTTTTCAAAACACATTCGCAGTACTAAGCTCACATAAGAGTTGTTATGCACGTTACAGGTTCTTAATCTTTTCTTAGCCTTACTCTTGTCAAACTTTGGCTCATCTAGTTTATCAGCACCGACTGCCGACAACGATACCAATAAGATAGCCGAGGCCTTTAATCGAATATCCCGCTTTAAGAACTGGGTTAAACGTAATATTGCCGATTGTTTCAAATTAATACGTAACAAATTGACAAATCAAATAAGTGACCAACCATCAGGTGAGAGGATCAACCAGATCAGTTGGATTTGGAGCGAAGGTTTTTATCCACTTGTTTCTCCTATTCTTCTATTATAATTAAATATATAGAAATTTAACAATAGAAATAATGGCATACTCTGTTCTCAAGTTCAATGAAATTCAAACGAAAACTCAATCTCTCTCTCTCTCTCTATAGACCACAGGACACATGAATAGTTCTTCGTTCGTTCGTTCGTTCGTTCGCTCGTTCGCTCGCCTTTACCAGAATTAATTTTGATTTCAATTATTCATTTTTTAAGATCGAATACATAAACTGTAAATATGTAGTAACATATACATATATATATATATATATATATATATATATATACATGCAGTAACTAATTAAAAAGAACGGAAAGAAAATATGTTTCATTTACTGCATTTGTATTCATGGTATAATTATTATTATTATTATTATTATTGTTTTTATACTTTACCTCGCTGATGATGACGATATATTCATTTATACCGGATATATGCCTGACATCTAGAAAGAATTTCGAAAGGCATTTCTTTTATTACGCCAATCGAACCAAAATCGTTTCTTTTCTTTAAATTGATGTAATTGAAGTCAGCTACATCGTCCGCTTGGCGGCTGTCAATTTTCTTTTTTTTTGTTGCCTAGCTTACAAGCGGAAATTTTCGGGATATTTTGACGAAATTTGATGTATTTTTGTGAAGATCGAACACTATCGAGAATGATTTGGATAAAGGTATTTTTGCGAGCTAAGGCCATATTTTGAGACGGTTATATTATGCAGAAAATTGTTGTTATTTTTAATAACTTCATAATAGAATTCTATGTAAAATAGAATTTTTGATATAGTAAATGAATAGTAAATGGAACCGAACAAGATCTAGTCGTTGATATTTCGTGACGAACTAGGCTGAAAAATTGTCTTCGACGGGTAGGTGATTGTCCGTCTTGCATCCGAATATCGCATTTTATTTTGTTATTTATTATTAGTTATTATTATTTCCTTTCTTTGTAATTTCTTTTATCAATCACATTTTTTTTTATATTTTTATTAAAATGAAATTTTCATTAACCTAACTCCGCCATCCACAACACTCCTTAAACCTTCACGAATGTATGCGCGAAACGATACTTCCTTTCACATTTGTAGCTATTATACAATATTCAAGTAATTTGCGTTCGTATACATACTTTAAGCAGTTATAGCATTAGTTTTATTATTATTTCGAATCTTTTCGTATTATGAGTTTTTTTTTATTTATAATATAGTTCAAGAGTTAATTTTATTTAATCTTTTTGTTTTCTCTATTTAAGAGCGGAACTACTTTAGTTTGCCCATTATAGAAAAGATTTTAGAAAATCGTTGTCATCGAAGAATTACGGAATTTTAATTTCAATTACATTTTGAAAAATTTAAGATTTTTAAAAATAGTAGACGAAAACAGTGGATTTTACCCTTCTCATTAATTGTTATTGTTGTATGACTATATTGTAGTTGTTGATAAATGCTTGTTCTTCTTAGTTAAATATTTTTAGTTCTTATTTGCATAATACATTTAAATACAGCCGTGCAAACTGATCGCTGTTGTATTTGACATTTCAACTAATTAAAGTCTTCTTACTTACTTTGCCATCGCCCTGAAACTCCTCTCATTCATTATCTATATATAATACATAAATTAATTGTTCACTTCATTTTCAAAAATTCAAGCAAATAATAAAGATTCTCTTCGCCTGTCCTATGCTCGCCATTATTTAATTCTCAAACACCTCAGACACACACATCTATCTATGCATGATAAATATTTTTAAAACTTATGTAACGAAGAAGAAAATGAATGCACAAAAATCATCTCACACTCCCATCTATTTACTCATTTCGTTTGTGTTCGTTACGATCCGTCGATGTTGTGTTTTTATGTATGTATATGTCTAAAATAAAAAATCAAACAATCAAAAAAATAAAATAAAATAAAAATTAAAATAAATCATTTTTCTAAAACAAAACTGATGCGTTTTTCCACAATTGGTTTTACATTTCAAATAATAATAATAATAATCGGAAAAAAAAAATCCTGAAATAATAAATAAATATCAAACGAAAATATCAAAAAAAAATTAAAAAAAAAAATTCAACCCTCTACATTATGCAACATCTGCATCAAAAACGAACGCCCCGAATGATATGCCACAAAACTGTATAAAAATCATCAAATCGCAACACATCCATTACGAATTGCAAAATTTAATGCAAATTAAAAAAAAAAAAAAAAAAAAAAAAAAACAAATAAAATATTAAAAACAAATTAATCAAAACAAACGTAATGGTTGGATACGTTAGGCAAGGGGGTTTGTCGTTGTATATCTGCAGAGCACGGAGACAATGAACTGGAATTAGGACACGATGAAATTCTGGTCGATGGACTTATCAAAAAGGGCCTAAAGGAACAAAATCAATTGGAGGTGGCCATTGGAGATGGCATGGAGTTCACTATACATGGCGATTTAAAGAACAATAAACCGAAGAAATCAAAATTCTTGAATAACACAACGGTAAGTGTTCCTGAGCACGTTTCTTGATTAAAGACAAACAATAACAAACCTTAATTGTCATTACATGCTGTCGGCGATCGGTGATCAATGTCACTATCACAAAGATGATGGGAAACTCAATAAACCACCAAGACAATAGACTGGAACATGAGCTAAACCATAGAGGTTTGTCCATACAGGACGACGACACTGCCAGCATTAACTCATATGGTAGCCATAAGAATAGACCATTCAAGGATGAAAGTCACAAGGGCAGCGCCGAGACTATGGAGGGTGAAGAGAAACGTGACGCCAGCAAAGAGGATCTCGGGCTTGACGAAGAACTAGACGAAGACGGGGAATTGGCGGAAGGCGAGCTAGGAGGTGACATTATCATACATGCCCATGATGAGGATGTAATCGACGAATATCCGGCCGATTGTTGTCCCGAATCATATTACAAGAAGTTTCCAATATTAGCCGGCGACGAAGACTCTCCTTTTTGGCAAGGATGGGGCAATTTACGACTGAAAACTTTTCAATTAATTGAAAATAAATATTTTGAAACCGCTGTTATCACTATGATTTTAATGAGTAGCTTAGCTTTGGTAAGTTTTAAACGCTGAACTACTCACTCTGCGTTGAGTGTCTGTCTCAGCACAACTAAAACTGTACCAAAGTTCATAAATGTCGTTTATATGTTGTAGTTTAATTTTATATTATCGGTTCAAAAAAAAAAAAAAATCGCACAGGAAAACAATTGTAAAACAAATGAAAATTTGCAAAAGAAAAAATATATATATTCTATTTTGTTTTTATTTGATTTCCGCTTTTAAAACAATGAAATCTAAAAACAAAAAAGAATTACAAGAAAAAAGAACATAAAAGAAATCGTTAGGTTACCGTTGCTTTAGCTTTGTTTCGAAAATTTTTTCAAGACTTTTGTCTTCAATTTTTTTGAAAATTTTTCTTTAATATAATTTATCAACAAGAAAGCGTCACAAAAAAGTTGCCTTTGTCCTTCAACGCGTGCAGCCACCGTGAAACCGTCTAACAAACAATATGCTTATTATTGTTTCACCGTCATTCCATTTCAAAAGAAAAAGAAAAGAAAAAGCGCAACAAATTTATGCTTTGACGCCGCTATTGTCTGCATCATATAATTAATTGATATTTGTTTATGTTTTCTTTTTCTATTTATATTTTTTTATTTTATATATATATATATATATATATATATATATAGGCCTTAGAGGACGTCCATTTGCCTGATCGGCCCATACTTCAAGACATTTTATATTATATGGATCGAATATTTACGGTAATATTCTTTTTGGAGATGTTAATCAAATGGCTAGCCTTGGGATTCAAGGTTTACTTCACCAATGCCTGGTGCTGGCTGGATTTCGTTATTGTCATGGTAAGTTGAAACGTTTACCGATTTATCAAATTTAATTTCTTCTGTTTATGTGTTTTGATATTATATTAATATAAAGATATTTGTTATAAACTTTTACTAAAACGACAACGAAAAGACATTTAAAGGACTGTAAAGTATTTTTGTATAGTTATAAGTTCTAAACTTAATTTTATGATAATTTTTTTTTTTTTTTTTTTTTTTTTTTTATTTATAAATTTTTTTTTATTTTTTGTTTCTTTTTGATTTTCGTTACCAGTAATTAAAGCACATAGATAAGACCATCGTAGAAAAATATTTAAAATAATATAAAGGCTAAAACACATAGGAGTACATAAAACAAATTTAGAATTAGTTTGTATTTAATCCATAGTAATCAATAACTAGTTAATAATACATATATATATTAATATTTATTATTGTATTAATAATTTTTCCATATAATTTTATGTAACTTTGTATAAAAATTTAAAACTAAATCGGCTAAATAACCCTTCCCGTCCAATTATAAAAAAAAAAAAAAAAAAAAAGCTTTCGCTTATTAATTTGGTCGCAGTTTGGTCTGGCTTGAATGATATACCTGTCTTTAGATCCATGCGTACTCTTCGCGCCTTAAGGCCTTTACGGGCCGTCTCTAGATGGGAGGGTATGAAAGTAAGTAAATGTTCTCAAAATGCTATAAAAAAAAATGGCTTTAATCCCCCTTTCCATATTTCGCTCTCTATATTCATGAAATAATCGAACTGCTATCTGTTGTCTACGATATATATACATAATATAATAAGTATTTATTTATCTTTCTATCTGTCTCTCTCTCTCTCTATCTCTCTCTCTCTCTCTCTCTCTCTCTCTCTCTCTCTCTCTCTCTCTCATTGTTTATACTTCTTTGAAATAATATTTTCAATTAATACCAATACTAACTAAAAAATTAAATGTGTTGTGTTGCCACGATTCATCAACTTTGCTGTTTAATAAATGTGTTATTAAATGTATTTAATGAAATTTACTAATAACTTAATAAAACTTTTGTATTATTAGTTTCAACAATAATAATAATAATAATAATAATAATAATAATAATAATAATAATAACAACAACAACAACAACCATAAAATGTTTTAAGAGATTTGCTCTCTGTTGATTAAAAGTACTACTTACTTATCGACAATATGCTAAATATGATCTCTTTAGAAACGCCATAAAGTTGCCATTTAACTTATGTAAGAGACATTCTCTCTTCGAGGCTTCTCCTCTCTTTCTCTCTAGGTCCTATTTTGTAAATTTTTCGTTTGGTTTCGTTTTTTTCTTAATTTTCTTTCTATATATTATGGTAAGCATCCAAAAAAAAAATTTTTGTATTATAAACGTTATAACCACTATCATAGGTTATAGATACATTATAATTAATTTTGATATTTTGTATCATTTCCATTATGTGAAAAGTCATTTATAAGAATGCGCAAATTATGTATATATATACATATACTCTTATTTTGTTTTTATCAACTTTAATGTTCTCTTGCCACTACGATTATCAAGTCTCTCTCTCGTTAAGCGATTGTTACAAAGAGAAAGACATCGTCGGAAACACCGGTCGGTTTTCATAATAAAAGTTTCATATACGTCGTGGTGATCGCGAGTGTTTTTTAGTTGAATTATAAACAATCTTAGTGCCATCGATTACTAAGATTCAGTGGACATGATATGAAACTATATATGTGTGTGATTAATTCTTTCAAACATGCTCAATGTCAGTCCACACGTGTTTTATGACAAATAAATTAAAAAGTCAACTCAGAGCCCTTATCTGCCTTACTGTCAGTCCAAAATTTTAGGTTAACATAATATATATATATATAATATTAATACATATATAATTAATAATATATATATATATGTCTATATGAGCGTAAAATTTCGATTCATTTGAAATTAGAATAATTTTTCTGTTGTTTTTTTTATTATTGATTTAAATTATTTTATTTCTTTCCTTTAATTTGATATCTTCTTCTTCTATCAACAGAACCAATCTGCCAGTTAAGCCTTAGCTTTGTAAAAAGTTGCCTAAATGTGTTCTCGTATACTAAAATTTCAGTAATATAAATATCTTATATGGAGAATATTGATGTTTATATATATAATATTAATAATATATATTATACATATATAACATTATTTATGTATCTTTAGTTTTGAAAAAAGCTTATCTAGTGCACACATCAAGTAAATATTTATACGTAATATTATATAATATTAAGTATTTAATTTAAGTCATTTAGAGTACAAAAAAATATTAAGTAAATAAATAGATAAATAAATAAATAATTAAATAAATATTGAAAAGTAGTACAAGTTTTGTATATTGCCACGAAGTAGCCTTTTTAAGTCTTTTGTTAATAATAATAATCATTGAAAATAGTTGTTAATTAGTTTAAATTGAAATATATCAGAAAAATAGTAGCAAAATTAATTGAAAATCAAAACGTAGCCTTTTAATTATTTTTGTAAAATCAGAATGGAACCATTGTGCTTGAGTAAAACTTACTTAGACCGTCCTTCTAGTTATATATAATTTCCTCGTACATATATATATATATAAATATATGTATAAAAATAATAAAATATATATGTATAAAAATAATATATATATATATATATATATATATATATATATATACATATATATAAACAATAAAAATAATAGGTAGATATATAGATAAAAATTCACAATTATTTATTAGAATTAGAAATTTAAACGCTTCTCTCTCTCTCTCTCTCTCTCTCTCTCTCTCTCTCTCTCTCTCTCT